GTAAGCCCCATTTTTCACACGTTAGGTCCACATCGTAGTTTAGCTGTCAGTGAACACACAGACAGAGCTCGGAGTGAATGTCAAACCTCCGTGTTGCGGGTTGCTCGCTGTCTGTCAAATTAACATCAGCTGCAGTCTCCTGCTCTCCATTCAAATTCAACATCAGACCACGCAACATGGTATATTGTGACAGAACTAGATCGACATGGTCTAAAATACCCTCCAGCATCCCTGAACGCACACAGGGCTCCAGGCTTGAAGGCTCCCAGGCCCCCCCTTCACTCCCCTCCCCTCCCCTCCCCTCTCCTTCCTCACCTCTCTCCCCTCCATCGCCTCCACCACCACCGACACTGCTGCTGCCGCCTCCTCTGATAAATGTCACGCAGTTTTCTTACATAATGCGAAAATGTGCAGTTACAGATGATGCCTATGTGTGCTGGACGCCACATCTGGGCTGTAGCGTGCGCGAGTGTGTGTGCGCGTGTGGGACAGTGTAGCAGAAAGCAGTAATAAACGTGACGCACTAAATGGATGAGACGCATCCACAGCGGCGATGGTTGGGTTTACTGTCGCAGAGGAAGGTTGGAGCTCTATATGGTGGTGTAAAAGCTGCCTGGTTTTAGCTTTTGAGTCATAAATCGACACTGCTGTACGTTGTTTTAGGGTTGTGACGGTAGGCTGTGACATTTTTCGTCATGACTGAGGCGTTGAGGCTGCTTACATCACTCTGATGCTGCCTGATGGGGCAGACTGGGGCTCTTTTTTTACACAGCTGGTCACAGGATGTTCTGCTGCTGTCTGGCTTTACAGTGGTGCTTTTCGCAGTGGACGATTGTGAGTGTAGCTCTATGAAGGGTGTGCATGTTACTGTGGGATCTCCTGTTGATCACAACAAGCAGCCACAGACAAAACAAACCACACAATGAATAAATGAGTTTGTGGATGAAAAAGTGGATTATTCACCAGCCCAGGGTGATTAATTGCGCTTTACATTATCAACTTTTTAGATGCAAGTCTTTGCATTTAAACATGGTACCAAACCACTGAAGTGAAATGGTTTCAAATGCAAACTCAGCCAAGAAAACAGCTACAGATGACTTAGCACTTGACATATTGGGATTTTTCTATTTGTCTGACAAGAAAGCAATCCATGTTTTATTTTGTGCTTTTTATGTTATGGATCATAGGATCTCAATTATGAAAACACATACAGTTTCACAGATGAATGAAAATGACAGTAATGGTCAGTTGTCTCCAGAGTCGAGAAATAGTCTGCAATTGAAGAAATTGGTAATCACAGTTAAACCATGTTAACTTGAATTATGCAGTGTATCTAATCTGCATATTTTCTTTCATTCCTTATTGTGAATCTGACATCATCACCCAGTTTAAAATTCTCAAACCAGCAACAAGCAATGTAGGGTTGTTAACCAGGCTTCTGTTGGAGCTGAAAAATGAGGTTGATTCAAGCTTGTTAACAAGTTAAAACAGGCCTGCTTCACCTCAGACAGACCAGACCAGACCAGCAGTGCCCCCAAGGTCTGTGTCCACGAGTCCAACAGCTTCAAGAGGTGACCGACCCTCCTCCACCTCCTTCTTTTCCGGCTCTGAAGTGTCTAGCAACAGCACTGAGGAGCCATGGCTGCATCTTGTGACCCGTCCAGCCTGTGGCACTTTTCATAAAAAGCTACAAGGAAAGGAGATAAAGTAATTACAGGTGCATTATTTTTAAAGACAGAACAATGAGTTGTGCTCACCTCCTGTGGATCAGCAGTCGACCTGTCGCCCCACCCCACCCCCCCACCCCTCACTGCTGCTGAAGTCAAGAGAAATCCCTCATTGCATTGTCAACTTTGCTGACATTAACATTTCATTCAGCTTATTACGTAAGTGGCAAAGCTCTTGAGAGCAGGCCTGAAAACATTGCTTTGACAGCTCCAGCTGCCCAGCGAATGCACTTGTGGTGAACGCAGCGGAGCAGCTAGAGAGCTTCTCAGAAAGACTTTGTTTTTAGACCTTTGACAGATGAAGACATCAAGGCAGAAGGAAAATGTAGAATCTAAGCCCATTCTAGAGCAGTTTTTCTAGACACTTATGACAAAACTATTAGCATCACTGACTCCCCTGTGGTAAATAAACTTCAACTTTATCCAGAAAGAAAATAATTATCATCTGTCTTCCAGGGGGACAGAAATGAGAGACTTCTCTTAAATGCTTACAATGGTGTAAAAATAGTTCATTGATGTATTTTAATTTCAGTCTTGATTAGTTGATACTTATTCAAAGCCAGAACTTGTATCCATTGCTGTGATTTCACTGAAGAAGATCTGCTTTGGTACCTTGTTGTGACAGATATCAAGGTTTAAGACATTATTCTCTTTGTTGCTATCATGCTGGAGTTTCATTTTCAAAAACTGGATCAAGACAAAAAGGATGGTGGGAAAGGACTATAATCTAATCTACTAGTCAGCTCCCATGGGTACTAGCTAGTTTTCCAAGCTATAGGCTACAGACTGCTAAAATAGATTTTCTATAGGTAGGCTACCAGTGATAAAGAGGTGTTTTCCTCTATGAAATTATCTGGCTGTAGCCAGTTTTCAAAGGCGTACAGGCTAATTTATTCTATGAAAGATGTGTTTTTTTCCCTATTAGTTAACATCCCTGTCTACACTAACAAGCTGTAATAGCTTGAATGAGTGCTATGAGGGAGCCTTCTTCTAAGCTTGTTGTTATAGCTAGATTTCCAAATGGTATCTAGCCAATCCTAGAAAACAGTTTTGTTCCTAGTGAGCGTCTCTTGAAGGATAGGAAGCTTTTTATTTTATCTCGCTTGTTTACAAAGCTGTACTAAAAAGGATATTCTAGAAAAATGTCTTTTCTACTATTAGCATCCCTAGATGTAGGCTACTTGCTGGCATGAGAGCTAGAAAAGACGTGTTTTGTACTAGCTAGATTACTTAGCTGTATAAGCAGAACACAAAAAAAGGCATTTTCTACACGTAAGCTCTACTGTAGGCCATTCTGCGAGGGAATTCTCATCAAAAGGAAATGAATATGCAGCTGTTTCAACTACTTTTCTTTGATTGTATAAATTCTCGTCTCTCACAGTGACAAAGGTTGCAAAGTGATGCTACACAAATAAAAAGATAGCTTACTTCTTCATGCTAATCTATTGTGAAATCTTGTTTGCCGTTTGCTTGTCAGGTGCTCTCTACCTGGTTGTTTAGTGCACTCCAGATTTTGACCGACATCCTTTATGCTTAACACAATGAGTTTGTTTGAACTTAGTCAGACTTGTTAGCTGTAATAGCAGCCTCAGTTGCAGTAGCCTGTCTCCTTGAAATTATTTTTATATGACACTAAATTGTTTTCCCAATTATGTTGCGGTGACAAATATAATTGCTGGCTACATTAATGTGACACACTGGAGCCAATACACTGGTTTGGATGGTGGGTGTACAAACAATAGAGTCCTGGGTCACTTCATGCAAACGGCTGTATGTGGTCAGGTTTAGGCATCAAAAGTGCTTTGGTTTAGGTTAGGAAAAAAAAATCATGGTTGCAGTTAAATGTTCATGATTGTGTTTTTGTCTCAAGACACTGGGGATTTCTTGTGTCCAAGATCACAATTTTTTGTCCACAACAATGAAACATAGACTTGAAGTTAAAGTTAAGTGAATTGTGTCTTGCCACATAAGAACATTTTCCAACATGTCACTAGAAACAGAACCTATACATAACAACAATTCCCTCCAAACTTATCTGCGTTAGATGTATATCATAGAATTTATAATTAACGTAGAAAACAAATATTTATGAGTTTAAATTAGACGACTTATGAGGATTATTGATTTGTCCCTAACAGAGAAAATTAAGGTCAATCATGACGTCAAACTGCACGTAAAATATTGCATTGTTTAACTCAGCTGACCTCCTCTTTATTTTTCTACTGTAAGAACAACTGTCATATATAGCCTTATAACTATATCCAATCATTTTCCCTACAGATGTACCATAATCTACGAGCTCTGCTGATGATGTCTGCATTAGATCATAGAGTTAAGCTCATCAGCAGATTTAAATCTACTGTAAATTCCCAACAACATTTCAGGCTACAAGCCCACTGACCTGCATTTGTTTTGTTGTTCTTCCTGAATTGATGAAGAATAACAGTTTTGTTTTGTTAGGCTGGTGTCACTGGATCCCAGCATCCCCACTCGAGCAGTCAGAGCGCTGCAACGCTCAAGGCTTGATGTAAAACAATACCAGTATGAGGTCAATGTTTCACATACCATGTCAGTCTAAAAGCATCTCTAACCAGGTGTATTTATAGAGACTTCCACAATGGTGGTGAGCTGGTGGTGTGCGTGTGTGCGTGTGTGCGTGTGTGTGTGTGTGTTAGGCATCTTAAATAGCACGTGTCTTTGTCCTGACACAGCCAAGAGAACTGGAGAGAAGATACTACAGTGAAGGTGTCCGGTTTCAATTGTTGTAACTTGCCTTTGTCAGAAAAATGTACAGTTTGATGATATCCATGCAGATATTTTTTTTTGTAAATCCATTCTGTTTTTTTTTTTTAAATGCACTGATCCATATATCTGTCTGATCCTGACTCTCATAGCTGGATCACATACTGTGACAATGGGGGCGATCATGGGTGGGTCTGTGTGGTTCAATTCTATCATGATTAATAATGCCTAATCCCAACCTCTCCTCACAGCATGGCTGACTTCAAGGCCGGTTCTTGCTAAATGGGTGAGGGATCACGGCCCTGTTCAATATCGCCCTCTCTCCGTTAGAGCTGCACAATAAATTGAAGTTTCATCCCTGTATTGCAAAAATGACCATTTGACCCAGACAAATTTGCAATTTCAACAAGCAATGCTTTCTCACTCAGCATACATTTATTTCACCCTGGGTATAACGGCCATTCTTTCACACCACTTTGATGCAGTCAGATGGAGCTTAAGTTATCCTCAGATTACTTGATGTTATAATTA